TCTTGATTCTCTGGATTAGTAGCAATTGAGATTCCGTTCACCGACGCCGCCGCATTGACGGGAAGCAATCTCCGGCGCCGGAGGAAGTTTCTGGAAGGAGGAGGAAGACGAAGGGATGGACATGGTGTGGGGAGGAGAGAGAAAATTCGAGGGTTTGGAAGTGGTTGGGTATGGCGGAGAGGAAGAGAAAGTGGAGGGGTGAGTTTGAAGGTGAAGGTAGAGAGCGCCATTGATGATGAGGTACTCCGTACGAGTTTGTGTAGTTATTACTTCCACCGTGTAGAAATGCTAAGTCTACCGTTGGTATTACGCAAGGAGGACAGACACCAGAAATTCCTTGGTTTTTTTTATTTATCCGTTCATTTTTGTTTTTTTAAGGTCTATCTATGAACAGTGACACGGTGTTGAAGTGCTGGTAACATTGGTTGGTGAAGTCTTGGCTTTGCCGGACTCTTTGGCCAATAAGGCTGTAACTAAAGATGGCACTGGGCCGGGCCAGTCTTGGTATGGCCCGACACAAAAAGCATGGCACGTTACTGTGCGTGTCGAGCCGTGGGCCGGGCTTGGGCTGCCTTTATTTGGGGGAAACACAATAAGGTACAGCACGACCCAGCCCAGCACGACAAAACACGTTAAAATCAATTAAATTTTGCTTAGGCCCGGCACGTGGGCTTAGGCCGGGCCAACCTTTTGAAAATTTCGTCACGGCATGAAACTCATGGGCCGAGCCTAGCTAACTCCAAAGCACGTGGGTCTGGCACGAGGCATGACTCGGCACGGCCCATAGCCATCTTTAGCTGTAAGTCTATAATAATGTAACATACCAGCTTTTATTGTCGGCCTTACCCACACGATCAATCGATCACCTTTAAATGAGCCGAAGTTTAAGGGCGCCTCAGTTGATATTTTTGCATGTTTATCAAATGACAAATTTGTAAAAAAAAAAATGACCAAAATTTTGCAATATTCATGGACTAACAGACCATTAGCAATTCTACCAAAAAAAAGTGCATTGTTTATGATAGAACCGCTAATAACGGTGCACATTTTTTACTATTTATTTACAAATTTGCCATCTTGATAAATATGGGTTGTTTATCAAAATGATGAACTTGTAATTTCTCATAAAGTCTAAATCTATTTTAATTATAGAATGTACTATTTGGTAAGTTGGTATAAGGGTAAGTTTATTACATTGTCTCAAATATAATCTCAAGCTGAGACTCAAATATGGTCTTGCATGAGTCTTGCAGGTTATTAACTATTAACGACCTGAGTTTGCTCACAAGCTGCCCGAATAACTCAATGCTCAACTCGGTCAGAGCTCAAATCAAGTTCTGCTCGAACTTTTACAAGCCAAGTCTGATATATCCTTGGCTTGGCTCGAATTTTTTTATTATTATCATTTTAATAAAATAGTTTGTAGCTTAAAATAATTTATCGACAACTAGGCACTGGGGTAATTGTCATATTTGGGGGCTTTATATGACAGAATTCAATCATCAATTATAATAAATAATAATATAATTAAAACAAGTAAATTCAAAACTAGATCAAATATCTGATGATCGAGCATCGAGCTCGAGTTAGGTCAACGGAATATGATTAATAGAAACTGCTATCTATTTATTTTACAAAACCGCAACTTATTATTTAACAAAATTACTTCACAAAAACAGGGAAATAAAAAAAACAACAACAACAAAGCAAAAAATCGTGAAAGTAATGCTCCCCCTCCACCACAGAGCAGCTCCACCGAAGACCACCCTATTGGCATCGACTAGACAAGCGACCACCATCTAGTCATCTACACAGTGAAATCACTCATTAAGCTAAGAAGAAAGGATGTAGTATTCTGGTAAAACTCAAAATCGAGATGTCACTCGAGAAGATCTTAATGAGTATAATGTGCCCTTATAGAAAAATGGAAAAATATTTTTCAAAAAGTGTAACATCAATCTAAGCCTAATGATATGGCTTGATAATTATATTACTCAACTAAATAGTGCATTAATCAAATTACAAATCAAAGACGAGTTAACAACACAATAAGGTAATGAACTTTGGTAAAAGTAATAATAAAGTAACAGAAGTTTCATTTGTTACAAATAAGGTGTTAAACTGGTGACCAAAGGTAATATTTCTGGTCATTCCTTATATATATATATATATATATATATATATATATATATATATATATATATATATATATATATATATATATATATATATATCCTTTCTCTCTCCTCCCCATCCCTTAAATTATCTTTTTTCTTCCTGTTTTGGTAAGCTGGCCCTTCCCAACACCATAATCTATGTCCATTAGTCCCACAACCTTTTAGTTTTTAATTCAACCACTTGAAAACTTATACATTAATATCTACAGAAGAATCAACAATTAACTCTTAACAATTAGAGCAAATTTCTCCACTTTCTTTTTACAGCCCAAAGTCACTGAATGGGTAAGTCACCAATCCCTAAAACGGGCTATGTAGTTTATCTGCGGAGTTACGTTACAGGCAGACATTTTACCAGAGGTTTCTATTGTATTAATCTCCCCCTATGTGATTCCTGTTGAAGCATATACTCGGGGGGGGGGGGGGGGAGGTTAGGTGCAAGACGGATGATTTCAAAGCAAACCCACCTTTCATTAAATAGAAAACATCACCAAGATTTTGTGATCCGCTGCTGAACTTATTCCAATTCTAAGATCTCGGATCCCATCCCCCACCGGCCCGACCTACCCAGCACCGGCCGCCAGTCCTCCCCCACCCTTGAACCCTTTCTCTTTCCCCTTGTTATTAGCCGACCCCATTTCACTACAAGAGAACAGCCTATTTCCGACGGACAGATTTTGACGGACACGTAATTCCGTTGGAAAAGTCAAAATTTCCGACGGATTTATATTCCTTAGGAAAATATATATATATATATTTTTTTTCAAAAACCCCAATTACATAAACCCTAAACCGGCAACCCCTTCATTGGATTTTCTCTCTCTGTCTTCTCTTCATCTCTTCCGCCTCTTTTCCCTTCTCTTCCTTCTCTTATTCTCTTCCGCCTTTTCTCCCTTCTCTTTCTCTCTCCTCTTCTCTTTCTTCTTCTCCTTCTCTTTCTCTTTTAAACCAAATTTTTAAGATGAAATTCAAAGCCCATTTTCGGTTAAGGTAAGTTTTTTGTGTTTTTAACTTTTTTTTTCTTTTTTTTGGGTTGTGGTGTCCCTGACTTGCCGGTGACGCGGTGGTTTGTTCTCATTCCACTTCTCTTTATCGCCAGCAGTTAGGTTGGTTGGTGGTGTAAAAAATGAATGGTTTTTAAGGTCAAATTCGACCGTGAAAACTCTAGATCTAGAATTTTCATGGTCGAATTTGGCCTTCTTAAACCAAATTCAAAGCCCATTTCGGTTAAGGTACGCTTTTTTTTTTTTGTGTGTTTTTACCTTTTTTTTGTTGTGGTGTCACCGGTGACGCGGTGGGTGGGGTTTAAATCGGTTAGGATTTGTGGTGGTTGGGGTTTGAATCAGTTAGGGTTTGTGGTGGTTGGGGTTTAAATCGTGGTGGTTTAGGTTTAAATTGTGGTGGTTGGGTTTTCGGGAGGGTTTTTCAAGTTGTTGTGGGTTGGGGGTGTCGTAATGTGTGATGAGGCTAGTGGTGTGAAGTTGGGGCTGGTGGTGTGGCTGTGGGCCGGAGGTGTGGGCTGGTGGTGGTCGTGGGTTGTGTAGAGTTTTGGGCTATGGGGGTGTTTTTTTTTACGGACTTTTTTGGGATGGAAAATATTTCCAAAGCCTGTTTCCGACGGAAATTCCGTTGAAAAGGGTCGTTTTTCCTACAAAAATGTTTACAACGACAGTTTCCGACGGATTTCAGGGTGTTTTCTGACGGAAAAATTCCGTCGAAAATCGCCTGTTTTCTAGTAGTGTTTCTTCCCTACCCGACCCCTTTCCACTCCTTAAACGTTGGCTTTCTTCAAATGAGACCACATGAAAATCCACTTGAAAACCACCCTACCCACCTCGAATTCCCACCCTAACCTCTAAAATATAAACATATACTACCCCGAAACCCAACCCTAACCGTCGAAACCCAACCCATCCACCCTAAATTAACATAACACCCACTAGAAAAATCCCCCACCTTGATATCGTAAAAGAAAAAAAAAAAGATAGAAAGAAGGGAGGAGCAGAGGTGGTGGTCGCGGGAGGTGATCTGCAGTGGCCGGCTGGTGTGCTATGGCCAGCGAGGAGTGGGGGTTGTTCTAGGGGGGTTTGAATATTTTTAAAAGGAGAGAGAATTTGAAGTTGATGATGGAGAAGATGAAAGAAACTTGAAAAATTAAGAAGGGGGAGCAAAAAGAGATAAAAGAAATTAAAGGATTTTATTTTCTGTTAGTTTTCTTGCAATGTATAATCGGTTATACAAGGTAAACGGGGTTTTTTTTTTCCCTATTTCAGTAGTACTCTAACAGTAACTTTTGAAAGTTTATTACTTCACCTGCAACTTATATCAAAGTTCAGTACCTTATTGTGGTATTTACTCAAATAAAGATGCATGGGGAACTCAACTGACATCAGACTTCATATTTATTTTGTAATAGTGGTCGCCAATCCGGTCAGCCAGTTTGGTGGACTTTGGAGGGGGTGGTGGTGGGGAAGTGATAAATACAAACATAATAATTGATTGATTAAAAAAAAAACTCTCTTACCGAGTTTACATGGACAATAGTTTTATAATTAAGTTTTATTTCAACGCGAAAATGTAATTAAGTTTGTAAATCGTTATTTATAAATCCTTCAAGTAGGAAGGAAAGTGCTTTAAGCCTATAGTGATTTAAATTCCTAAAATAGTTTGGCAAAAAAAAATAAAATTGGACGGAAATTTTTTAACCAGTAATTAACCCGTGTCATTTTATAATCACCTACAATCCTAGTTACACGACGTCGTAACAATGCCGTGATCCTAATCGTTAAGACTATCCATTTCTTCAACGCATTGCCAAACTCCCAATAAAACACCCGCCACAAGGCAGCTGCCTCAACAACGCGCCACGTAATTTCAAACCTGTTAAGACCATAATACCCTCAACAACTCCCTCTATTCCACCTAATACCACCCGTTTTTAACCCCACTATATGTAACTATGTAATCCTGTGAAGGAGGACAAAACCGTCTTTTCATCCTGCACCTCACAAAATATCTCTCAATCTCTCACGCATTCATCACTGATCTCTCCTTTACGGCTCCTTTTTGTTTCTCTCTGCTAAAAAAATTTCTCTCCTCAAACTTCTCCGGCAACAATGGCGACTGTTCTGGGAAACCTAGTTTTACCTGTAGACCTAAATTTGCCGGCGAAGGTAATCTCCGATCACCGGAAAAAGCTCCGACTACTTCCGTACGACGTCGTGTTGAGCTTAGGCTTGCCGAAAAGAGAGAAGGAGTTTCAGATATGGGGGGAGTTTTCGACACTCGGAAGGCTGAGTTTCTCGAGGAAGTCGAATGCTGTAGAATATTCTAGCGACGAAGAGAACGGAAATGGCGGAGGAGAAGGCGGCGGTAATGGTGGTGATGATGAGGAATTGTTTGACTGGGAGATGCAGATGAGGAGGAGAGTAAAGGAGCTTGAGGAGATGAGAGAGTTGGAGAAGAAGGCGGAGGAATTGCAAGGGAGGGTTGATGCTGAAGCTAGTGAAGGTGATGGTGTTGATGAGACTGAGGAGGAGAAGAAGATGAGAGTTCGGAAAGAGCTCGAAAAGGTTTGTGATCTGCTCGCCTTTTGATTTGGATTTGATGATTTATTTATAATTTGAGAGATTTAATGATTTATGTTGTTTTGAATTTTGATGATGTTTGAAGATTTTGTGGATTTTTAGAAATATTTAAATGCCTAGTTGTGTTTATTATTTAATTATTTTATTTTTAATTAATGTTGTGTTGTGTTTTTGTTTGGAGATCAATTCACTGAGGAACTTACTATTCAGATTCATAAGCAATTTGTTGCAAACTTTGCGTAGTTATAGATTTGGAGGTAATTAAGATGGTGCCCAATTCAATTTATCGGGTGCAGGTTGGCATGTAGGATGAGAAAATAGAGGGGCAGACGTTTGGTTATTGAAGTATTGATAAAATGAATTTGACACAACAAGAATTATAGATTTTGTTGGTGGTTAGATTAAGGGCCTCAAGGCACTAGTTGGGGTTCTGGAAGTAGAAATGGAGAATAACCGACAAAGATGGAGGGAGTAGAATGTGCAATTCAGGAGAAGACGAGAAGTATTGGGTAAAGCCGAGAGTGCAAAGGCACCCAATGCTTCTGAGTTTGGTAAAGATGGTGGTGTTTTGAAGCATATGAGTAAGGTGATTTGTTTTGGAGAGTGGGCATAGAGCTATAGGAGGTGGATAATAAGGTAGACAAGGGAAGTAAAGTCAAGAGTCCAGTGAGTAGTTGGCTGTTTAGCATAACGCTTCTGAGTTTGGTAAAGATGGATGTGTTTTGAAGCATATGAGTAAGGCGATTCGTTTTGGGGAGTGGGCATAGGAGGCAGTTAGTAAGGGAGACAATGGTAGTCCGATGAGTAGTTCGTACTTGGCAGTTAGAGGTTCTGGCAAGTAGAAATGGAGAATAACCGACAAAGATGGAAGGAGTAGAGCGTGCAATTCAGGAGAAGATGAGAAGTATCGGGTTAAGCCAAGGGTAGCAAAGGCACCCGACGCTTCTTAGTTTGGTAAAGATTGTTGTGTTTTGAAGCATATGAGTATTGAGTAAGGCTATTTGTTTTGGAGAGTGGGCATAGGAGGCGGTTAATAAGGTGTGGAAGTAAAGTAAAGAGTCTGATGAGTAGTTGGCAGTTTAGCAAACGCTTCTGAGCTTGGTAAAGAAAGATGGTTGTTCTTTGAAGCATATGAGTAAGGCGATTTGTTTTGGAGAGTGGGCATAAGAGACAGTTAATAAGGTAGACAATGGTAGTCTGATGAGTAGTTGGCAGTTTAGTATGAAATACATAGTCATTGTTTTTGAGTGTATAAGTTGGTGATGTAAGATGTGAAATGCCAATGGAAGAGACAATAGCGGGTTAGTTTAAGATATTCGCCTCCATTGCTGGAGTAAAATTGGCAAAAAGGGAGAATTGAGGAATAGTTTATGAAGGGTGTGGAATTGGAGATATGTTTTTTAGATGTTGGATTATATTAAGAGCCTAAACCAAATATATCGAGGCCTTGTTGTATTCACCTTATTTTTGCTTGAAATTTAATTTATTGAAATGAAATTATTTTTTATGAACTTAAATTAATTTCACAGAACTTGAATTATTTTGAATGATTAAAACTTATCCAACTAATTTTCTTTATTATATTTGTTCTTTGAAGTTAATGATTTTTATAAATTACAACTTATTTTTACTTAATTGAACTTTTTTTTTTTTTTTACTAAACTTAACTAATTTTTACTAAACTGAAATTATTTTTATTGAATATTATTTGAATAAGGTGAAGAGAACAGGGCCCTAGTAAAATGATCCACATAGTTTTGTAGAATTTGTAGGTTGACATAGGAGAGAACCAATAAATTCTGCCATCTTGAGGATATTAAGTCCAAAGGAGCACTGAATTTAAGCAAAGATGAAGGAAAGAGTTGGTATCTTATTATTTGTGCAAGAATTAAGATGGGTGATGATATAGATTCGTAGCACGATAGTCGTAGAAGGGATGACATATCACCTTTTTAAGTGATAAACTCTGACATTGTGCCACCTTATATAATCTCACCATTTAAAATGAACTCTTTAACTCAGCTGATAATATAGAAGCTCAATTAAAATTTCCAACATCATATTGATGATGTCATTGCAAATGGAAGAAATTGATATATATGATTTACACAATTCTAGGAATTTGATTTGCATAATAGAAGTAAAAAGGTATGATTTGCATAATCAAAGATAATATTCTCCTAGGAAGATATTCACATGGTCAAAGTTATGATTTGTGCCAAATATGATTTGAGAAGATAGTATCAAGAAATATTCTTGACATTTACTTCCACACTTGTTTCTTGATCAGTTATTGGGTTATTTTGATTTTTATTATTTTGGTTCCTCTTATCTGCAGACAAGTAGGATAGTGGAAAGCTATACAAAATTGAAGTAATTTAGGCTGTGATTGCTGTTGTTTCTTCTGAGTGTTGCATGATATCATGGAATTATGCCTCTTAAAGTCGTAGAGATGATGGTTGAATGCTAAATAAGCTCTTTGTTCCATTTTAAATACTTTACTCCTAGGAGTATAGGCACTGGCATATGTTCTGTTATGCACTATCCAGTCATTCATTACTTGAGCCTTCTGACTTGAGTCACCGGAATAGTAAAATAACAGGATTTAGCTGTTGCATCCGTAGTTATGCTTTGGGCAATTACCTGTAGAGTTGTAGCCATCATACTCCCTATTTTGCCCACTAGTAACTATTGACAAGTGACTGTTTATAATCTTTATATTATTATTATTATTGCCTTTCTTATTTTGCTTGAAGTTAGCTGCTACATTTGCTTGAAAATGTTTAGCCACTGCTTCCAATAGTATCATCCATTCCTTTGTGTTGCATACTTTCAGAAAAAGTTTTCAGGATGTCTTTTCTGTGAACGCCTTTTCCATGTCTTTAAACTGGTTAGGTTGGGTGTTAGGACTTGTGCTACTGGTCTGCCGCCTATGGACATCCTCAAGCCTTTAGTGGATATGTGATTGTTTCAGATAAGTGATTTGAGCAGTTAGGTAAAATTGTCAACTAGAACTTGCTTATCTAGCTAGAGGCAACGATGAAGAATTGATGTCTAGAATTTTCTACCAAAACTGTTTCTTAAGGCAGAGAGTATTTGTTATTTGTGGGGTCTATGTAAGGCATGAAGAATGATGAATTTTGTTTGGTTGATTATTTCACTTTTTATGTTATTGAATATGCTTTTTTAATGAAGCTGATTCATCAATTCTTTTTCTTTCCATGATACTGTAGGTGGCAAAGGAACAAGCTGAAAGAAGAGCAACTGCTAAATTGATGTTTGAGCTGGGTCAGAAGGCTTATGGTAGGGGCATGTATAAACGAGCTATTGAATTTTTAGAAGCTGCATTGACAATCATTCCAAGACCTACGCTTTTTGGTGGCGAGGTCGGTTTGGCTGCTAGCACATGATGAAATATGGTTGCTCTCTTGTTATAGTGGGTGAATGTAATTGTGGTTGGCCTAATATCATTCTCTTTTTATGGTCTTCAGATACAAATATGGCTTGCTATGGCGTACGAGGCCAACAACCGGCATGCAGATTGCATTGATCTGTATCAGCAATTAGAAAAAAAGCATCCCAGTGTCAGCATTCGCAGACAAGCTGCAGAGCTTCGTTACATCTTGCAAGCACCGAAAATAAAGATAACCCAAGAAGAGATGGTAACAATCCCGTTAATTGGTAATAGTTATGACAGGTGATTCTCAGGACTTACATCTCCACCTCATTTATCTTAAGAATTCATGTTATGAGTTAAGGGCACTTTCACCACTTGCTATGAATTTAACTGTATCCTGCATCACAGAAGCAAAAGAGAGATTAACAGTTTAACACAAGAGAATTATACACTAGGTATAACATGGGAGATTCCTCCTCTATTTTAGGTATAAACCACAAATTTTTTATTAATGGCAAAGAAATTACTTCAGTGTATTATCTTCTAGTTGATGAAGACAACCTCCAAATAACTCATCTTTGATTACCGGCTAATATTATTCATGTGCACCACATTACATATCCAAGAGTTGACACTAGGTTTGACTCTTAGTTTCACACGACTACACTTGATTATAAATGAAGCTTTTGGTTTATAATCCCATTGGGGCTTATGACAGACCATGAAGCTGGTATACTCTACATGAATTTACCATATGAACCTGCTGTGTGGACCACAACTACTTGAGACTTTATGGAAAAATCACTAGAGTACTAGACCCTCACAAGAATTTGTGGAGAAGTCACCAAATTAGCATATCAGAAGACTTCTTGGATCATGTAGTGTGTTACCAAGAGAGAAATCTCATCTTGGATCAAAGACATCACTTAGGGACTATGCCAAATTATTTAATGCTTACTATGTATTGATGAAAGTGTTGCTTATAAAATCTGATCCAATGTGTCTACAAAAGCTGTAATTAAGCTTACACATTTACACTTAATTTGTTGATAGAGTCTTTTAGGTGAATCTCCGCAGACTATAAACATAGCAAAATATGGAATTGGATCAGCATCTTGTTGTAGGCTTTCATGGATTTTGGAATGTAAAACATGTAATGTTTCTCAGTTTGGATTTTGGAATGTAAAACATGTAATGTTTCTCAGTTATACCGTTTTTTTGAAGCTCACTGCTGCAATTTTGCTCGCTTTGTCTATGAGTGGTATTTCTTTCTGCAGATTGGCGCTTAAATCCTTGCTAACACTTGGATACTTCTATTGTCTCTTGCAGCTATGCATCGACTTGGACCGACAAAAGCAAGGACAAGGAACAATTCATTGGTTCTTCAACTACGAGTGCATTCTCCTCATCCAGAGATTATATTGGGGACTTCCTAAAGTGGAAACCCCCTGTTGACTTGCAGGATAATCGCATTTTCTGGGCTGCAGTAACTCTATGGTTTGGTTTGGTTGGAGCTGCACTTTTACTTCAGAGATGATCAATCATATATATATACGTATACCCTCCCTTATTCCTATATATAAGTAGAATCCATCCAATTCTTGATTCCTAAGGTTTTCATCATGTTGAATATGTAAATATATATATGTGCATGTTTATTGTGAACTATATAATGTTAGAGCAGATTGCAGAATCAGCATTTTATTCTTTCTGTATTTGGGGCTAACATGAGGTTAGCCTTCATCAGCTACTAGTTCTTCTGTTTCATCACATTATTGTTTTTTTTTTTTTTTTTTTTTTTTTTTTTTTTTTTTTTTTTTTTTTTTCTTGTTCCCTCTGTCTAATTTATCTTTGGACTTGGCTCATTCTCGGAGAAAGGATATGCATAGGGAGATCCATATGCTATAGTTTCGATCTTTCACTCTTTTGGATATAATCAGGTTGTCCTTCTAGCTCCATATTTCCCTTCCCTTTTGTTTGGTGGCGCTTATGTACTTGCTTTCAAAATTATATTCATATATGTAAGTTACCATGGTTATCTTAGATTTTTGGCAGGCTAATAAGAAATTAAAGGTTTTTTTATTTATTTATTTATTTATTTAATTAATTTTTTTATTTATTTATTTAATTAAAATCATGAAGTAGGCTAAATATTCACATCTTTATTTGAGCTATCTTAAAATAATACTTTCTCCATTCTTTTTTTATTGCACCTTGAGTGATTTTACGCTTGCCAATACACTACTTTGTCTATTAATCTTTAATTTCACTTCTGTAAAAATTATGAAAATTTGATATTGAAATGTAGATTTTAAGACGAATCTAACTAGATTCCACATGACTATATTTTTCTTTATAAATAAATCACAAATGATGGTCAAAGAACATTATGTGAATAATGTAAAAGTCTTTATGGTGCAATAAAAGAAAAATGGAGGTAATAATTCTTTTGTTATTATTTACTTGCAACACAGCCTTGTGACACATATTTTGAAGTCGAGATTATACTATGTAGACGAACAAATTAATCAAAATAATTTTACCACATGGTAACTAATCCTTTCTTATTCTTGGTGTTGAATTATTTTGATAAAATCCTTCATTTACCTTTACTAATCACCTCTTAATAATGCGTTCCTAAAGGTTGGGTTGCGATTAAAAAAAAACGGGAAAAATATATCATTATTTGAAATTTTAGAGAAAGAAATACCTCAGTTGATTAAAGTTTCCTATGTTGATTCCTATTATCCGTCCGAAATAAGACACTCACCATTATAAGAGTATAAGACTACTTGTAGGTGGATTCATCTAAGAGAAGAGTAAGATTGTACGACTGAAATAAGTCAGGTAGTTATAATGACTCACAAATGTGGTCTTACACAAATGTTCTCAAGTATAAATCATAGACAAAAGTACTATGGACTATAATTCATCATCTTAATGTTGTAGTTGTAACATTGCTTTATTTGCTCATCTTTTAATACATATAAATAGAGTTGCAAGCCAGCCTGGAAAGGAATATTGATGTTGGAGCATACTTGAGGTTGAACAAGCTTTTAATATTCCTTGTCCGAGCTTGATTTCCAAGAAGATTAATTAAATGAGCGAGTTCCATTAATAATGTCACTACAAAAACTTTTTCACAAACTTTAAACATGGCTGGCCACACAGTGTTGTGACCAACCATCATAGGTTACTTTATTAGTGTTATAAGAGCTACTCAGTTAGTGTTACATACTTACAGTGATTACTTTATCGGTGTTAGGGGCTATTCAATCAGTGTTATTGCGGTTAGTTTGTCCGGCTACATAATATGGTTGATTAACTAAAACTTTTTTATATCTCACATTTATTTTAGGTTTATTTCAAAATTTAAAAAATTTCCATACCTTCATAATACCAATGGACTACACTGCACTGTCTCACTCTCACTAACTGGGCCTCGAAACATGTTCACAAAAGCCCAACCACAACCCAAAACCCCATATCTCCTCATTCCCCTAATCACTCCCATAAAACCAGAAACCCTAATCCCTCTTTTCTGGCCTCCACACTTCACCTTCCCCCAAAACCCTACTCAGACAGAGAGAGAGGAACAATCAAAATCCGCCATGACAACCCGATTGAAGAAGAACAGGAAGAAGAGAGGCCATGTCTCCGCCGGCCACGGTCGTATTGGAAAACACCGCAAACATCCCGGAGGTCGCGGTAACGCCGGAGGTATGCACCACCACCGTATCCTCTTCGACAAATACCATCCTGGGTATTTCGGTAAAGTTGGTATGCGTTACTTTCACAAGCTTCGCAACAGGTTTCATTGCCCCATTGTTAACCTCGACAAGCTCTGGTCTATGGTTCCTGAAGATGTGAAGGAGAAGGCCTCTAAAGAAGGGAAAGCGCCTGTGATTGATGTCACTCAATTTGGGTATTTTAAGGTTCTGGGTAAGGGTGTTTTGCCTGCTAATCAAGCTGTTGTTGTTAAATCTAAGTTGATTTCTAAGATTGCTGAGAAGAAGATTAAGGAGAATGGTGGTGCTGTTCTTCTTACTGCTTAGGAGAAGGTAGGGTTTCTGATTGCTATATCTAGGAAGTTGTTTTTTGTTTTTGTTTTTTTGGGAAACATTTTGAGTTTTGAGATAATTATTATTAATCTTGTTTTCGGATTTTGTTATGATCAGATTTTCGGTCTTGTTAAATGGTTGTTATTATCGTATTACTGCTGTTGTTTCTGTTTTTTTATTTTGGTTTTGGGCGTTGCTTTTCTGTTTATTTTCCATAGATGTATGCTTTTCTGTGTTTTACTGCTTTTTTTTTATGATTCATTTTCTGTTTTTTGTGATTGATTGTTGAGGAGATGTATATTCTGATAATGTTTGGTGTTATAAATTCGGTGATTTTTGTGATTTTGTGGCATATGAATGCTTTTAAATGAGATTATGGAACTTGTGAAAGTTTCTGTGTTGGTTTTCATTATTATTCAAGATAAAGAGGTTGTGTTATGTTTGCATTTTGTGGAAAATTGAGGGCTTAGTAGTGACTTGAAAAATGTTTGATGATAAAGTACGAATGTAGGAGGAGGGTTTAGTGTGACTGCCACTCGGCAAGTTTGCATTCGGGGTTTAGTATGACTTGCTGAGATTGCAATTTGATGCTATGAATTAGGCACTTTCTGCTATTTTGTGTGGATTTTTCCTATTAATGAACAAAGGACTGTTCTGCTTGCATTTTGAGGAGTGTTTGGTGACAAATATCATTGGGTTTGGTATGTTTTCCGAGCTTTCATTTGGGTTTGATATAATTTTGCGAGCTTTCATTAAAGTTAAATGTGGTTTAGCAAGCTTGCTTTCGGGTTTGGTATGATTTAGCAAGCTTGCATTTGGGTTTGGTATGATTTGTTGAGCTTGCATTTGGGTTTGATTAATTTGGCAAGCTTTCATTCATGTTTAATGTGGGGTTAAGCAAGGTTGCATTCAGGTTTGGTATGATTTAGCAAGTTTGCATTTGTGTTTGGTATGATTTAGCAGGCTTGCATTCGGGCTGGGTATGGTTTAGCAAGCTTGCAATTTGAATTTTATTTTCCCAACTATGCCAGTCTACGTTATAATTGTTCATATTTGTTGATTTTATTGTAGGAAAGTAGGGTACTGAGGGTTCAAGGATCATTTTGGTGATATACTGTGATTGAGTTCAATATAGACTGTACTATTTCTATGGAGCATTTTTGCTGGTAGTTATTGTGGTAATGAATGATATATGGTTCAATTGTCCATGCTGCTGGTGATTGGTGTGAATGTGTGATAGGTAGTAAGTTTTCAGATGGACCTTTTTGAGGTATGGTGATTAGCTTATGGTTTAATGTGTTTGGTTAATGGTTATGGACTTATGGGTCTTGGTTGAGTCTGTTGAGGAATAATATGTGGCTTGATGTTTGTTGATTAAGTAACGGCTGGTCTTTGGGAATTGGAGAACATTGGGGTAAGTTATTGTCTTGGGATACAAAGGTTTATCTCTATATTTTTGAAGTTAGTTATTAACCTGAAGTATGTGAAATTATTTTCTGAGGTGTAAGCCTTATTCATCTTGATGTATTGCGAAATGTGATACTTGAGTCTAACTAAGGGTGATGAGAAGCACTGATACAGGAGAAAGGTGGTATTTTAAAAGTAGAGTATAATTTGTTCTGCTGAGGAAAAGAGGTTTTATTTGTCTTGAGGATATGCTGTGATCATGTGGTTTATATCTTTTGTCTAGTTGCCTACATCCTGGATTGATTTTGTTTAAAGAGCAGCTAGTGTTGATTTTCTTTGGATTTGTAAACTTGGCAGGATTCTTTTCAGGTTTTTCTGTTGAATACATTCTGTTATGAGAGAAGGTTTATGGTCCTTGTTAGGGTTATGTGTTGTGCTAGCAGTTTGAGAGAGTGAATTGTGGCTAATCAATGGGTGCTTAAGAGAAGATGTTTATGTGGATCTATGTACTCTGCTTGCATTGTTAGTAGCCCTGGCTGCTACTATCCTCATTGTGGTGTATCCATTGAAATTAATATTTGTTGTTTGCTTGACATGTTTTGAATAGGATTGTGTCTAGGGTTCATATTTGCTTGAAGAATTTTGAACAGCTTCAAGCATTATGATTCTTGATTTTGTTTCGGTTAAGGAGGGATCTATTTTTAGAAATATTGGGAGCATATTCCAAGCCCATTATAACACTATGCTGATTTTTTTTATTAGAGAATTGGGACCATATTCAGCCTGGCTTTTATGATTTATGTTTGTTTGGGTGTGTTTTTCATCCATACTAAGGCTTTTTTGGTCTTGAAGGTGTGGTGGTATCTTTGAGTCTGACTAAAGAAGGAATTCCATTGTGCTCTTCATTAATATATAATTCTGTATAGTTCAAAGCTCTACATTTACTTGGAGTTTCTCTTTGGAAAGGTGTCAAAAACTAACCTGACCCGATTTGAACCGACCATTTCGACTTTTTAGATACAGTAATTTAGCATGACTCATTTGAAATAGCCCTGATCCAACTCACTGAACCCAGACTTAGTAGTTACCAGAATTGACAACTCTTCTGGTAGATCACAATTTAGGTCCAACAGTAAACTTGATGAGCACTGATGAATTTTGGTCTTCTTTTTGCATCACTGATTCACTGTGACATGTCAAACTGTGTTTGTGTTATGTCTATCAGATATTCAGATGGTTCAAGTCTTTTTTTGCCATATTACATTCTAAAGCATTGTAATAATAAATTTATTGAGCCAGCTATAGCAGTAGTAGTAGATGTATAATGAGTGAGGGTACCAAAGAGGATTGTTTCGTTGGAACCATTTGATGGCCGTAAGTCAATATTACTAGGTGTTTACTCAAATGCTATGAATCTAAGATATTTTGTTGATATTTTACAGAGGGCTATTGGTGTTTAAAACATGTTCAGGCGGTATTATGGTTGCCACCCAATGGAACATGTTGAGGCTAGTTTCAGCCATTTAACCAATGTATCCCTCTGAGTTTGTTAATGTTTTCCAATTGATTTAACTGCATCCAACTTTGAGCAAAATAACACGTAATCTCATTGCCCATTGGGATTATTAATAGAAGTATGCTTTGTGCACAAAACGGTAATTGGTGGATAGGACGGGTGCTGTTATTACCTGAATTTAATATCCCATCCCACCTTAATCCGCTTATACTAGTCCATCTATTGCCTAAAACGTCCATTATGGTGACGTTCCGAACTCTTAAATGCGTGTGTTTAGTCAATAACAGGTTTAGTGTAATGTGTGTATTTTGTCAATAATAGGTTAATTTAAACTGCGGATATGAGAAACTTTAATCACCGATGGCGATGATTATCCATACCCATTGCGGGTACACCAATGTTGTATTTATACCCGCTCTTATTTAGTGTGTGGACGTGTAGTAAACTGTAAACCACTTAATATCCCTTTGAGTGAAACATGTAGGTTGAATAAACATGTAGGTTGATAAATTTAGTTTCCTTGATTACCATCCATCAATCAAATGATTCTCTTCTCTTACAAGTTTTTCAAGCAAAAGCCTCACAAAATTGACAAGTTAGATCTTGAGAAGACGCTATTATCTCCTCCTACAATGCCCTAACTTTTTCTATGCAACAGTTTCTTCAAGTCTCGAATTGTCATCTCTCAGCATCTTGCGTTTTTCTTTATTCTCTCTCCAGCAATGGAAGCCTGTATATAATTACATAAATAAGATAGAAATTTTGAATACATATGTAGTATTATTTAACTTAAGGGAGAAAACTATGCTAAACTTGTATAGCGAGCCAACTTAAAGCATCCTTATGGAGGATGAAATAGTGAGGTCTATAATTGGTTTACCTCTTTATCCCAGTTGGTTTTGTAGACTATCAAAAATAGGATAATTGTCTGCGCACATGTACCGGCAAGCATCCCAAGCCATATCCCCTGCAACATATGTAGAGATAAAAATCAACAAATGAATAGGAAAATACCCTTCGACTTATCTATCTCTAGGTGTACATACTCGGGTACATGTAAGAACATTCAAAACTTTAGTGTGATAAAGTTACAAACCTTGACACCTAAACCAACCACATATCCCAATATGAGGTCCAAAGGAATCCCTAATATGTAGTAACATGCAATGTTAATGTATGCAACCAAAGCTTGCCATCCTGCTCCAATTGCCACACCTAAGGAAACCCCATGGAGAGATCAAAATTAAAATCAACTCTAACAATAAATTCAATGAAACTCGGGTTAATAAGTACATATAAGTATAATTTTCTAAAATCGAGTGAAAAAAATAAGGCCTCATCTTTAGCATCGTCTTTCCTATGGAGAGAATAGCTAAAAGTGAAAGTAAGCTGAATCATAGATGCATGCTTGATTTACCTGAGAGAACAGGCTGAAAATTGTTGATAATGATACTAATTGCGAGAATTGGGGTTAGCTCAGCCACAAGCTCTTGTACCTCATTACTGCTGGAAAATACTGCTGGATATTCTTTTCTAAATATAATTAGCCCTGTCGCCATGATCAAACCGAGCAGGAATGTTGTTAATACGGAAACCAAAACTGAGAACTTTGCCATTCTGGGACGTGCTGCTCCGAGTTCATTTGATACCCTTACACTTAATAATTCAGAAACATGTATGTATTAATTACTTAAATTCATTACCATTACCGCTATGTATAACTAGCTACTACCAAATAAGTTAACTAGCTCTAAGAAAGTGTCACGACGAACATGTGTATGTAATAAGGACTATTAACACAAACCTTACGGCTGCATTGAATCCCAAAGCCACCATCATTGTCCACCCTAGTATGTTCATGCTGAGACTAAGCTCACAAGATTAGTTTTAATTAATGCAATTATTGATGAATTTGGAAATAGATTAGCATCAGCAATTTGTCTTACCATACAGATAAAGCACCCACTGAAACCTCTGCATTCTCTAAATACCCAGCGAACAGAATTAGAGCCATAAAATACCACGTTCTAAGCTGCGCAGATTAGCAATAAGATTAAAACAAAATAACAAAAAAATAATGATATTTAGTTCAATTTGTATTCATGATTGAATTTTAACCAATTAAGCTAGTTGACATCCACGAAAAATATCTTGATATGTGTTTAAGTAAATAAAATTTGGATAGCATTGCGAAGTTGAAGTTGTAATTATAGGGCCTTGGCCTTACCATAACATCACTGCAGAGGCAACAGACAACCTAACAAAGCCCCATAAATCATAAAAGCCTTCCATGAAAAACCACTCCAAGCCTCTCCACATCTCCCACTGAAAATGTACGCAAGCTCGGCCAAGACTATGAACCACCACGAAGTGTCTAACACCGCGGCCCCAGCAGGGAGGCCCCACCCAAGCTTTATTACAAGCAGCCAGGAGAAAAAGGAATGTAGGAGCAAGGCTACACCTGTGATCACCACCATGGTCATCACCTTACGTTGTGCTTGTAGGAACTTTATGGGAATACTGTCGCGTATGCAAATAGCTGTGGGATCATCCATGTTGCTACCTTACCTGCCCAAATGGCGGATCCAAAAATTTTTATTACCACATCTCGACCCTTTATGTATAAAGTGTTATTTTAAAACAATGTTGTTAAGGAATTTTAAATATGTTATCTTGTATTGTCAATCCAAATTATCATCTTGTACTAGTACACAAAACACAATAATATGCCTACGTTCTTTTATGCACATGTAATTTATTACTAGTATAGTAGTATCTTATAATTGTTCGTGCACTGGGACACTAGGTTGCATGAAAACGAATATAGATAGGTACGAGCACTAGGACACAGGTACGAACATATAATTATATGGACATGAAAACAGAATAGAGGACATGATTCCAAAATATACCCCATCTACCAAAAGATGGAGCAAATTTACCTGCAGCCTTTGAAATAGCAGGAGTTTCTCCGATGAGGAGCCAAAGCGGGGTGGCAAAGATGTAGAGGGGGCTGAGTGTGAGGGCTGTAGTGAAGAGGATCACCCAAGACCTTTGCAAGTAAACTCCAAGCATGTTCAGCTGTTTTGCCCCAAATGCTTGCCCACATAATGTCTCCAACGCACTTCCCATCCCCAACTTCATTTTATTGTTGCAACACTAATACCAAGTATAATGAAAACAATCACACAAATAATAATAACGGACTATAATACAATTATAACGATGAAGAGTTGAAATGATGATTAAGGAAGCAATACAAAATCGAAAAAACTTTGCAATTAAAAGATTTATGGTAGGCAACATTTTATCTTACGTTAAAAGAGTAACAAGTTTAGATAAGCTATGTTAGAAAACGAAATTTCTTACTAGCCTTAGATTTGTACTTGTTGCCTTGTTGGGTTAGTGTGGCCCGAATTCCATAAGCCCGATTTATGTCTCAATGTTTTTAGATTATTCAAGCATGTTGAGAAATTGGCGAAAAATATTGGAAGATGTTAGAATTTAAAGAGCATGCATGTAAGCATTTTTGTAGATGTTTCCACACGTATACTTCTTCCACCAACACACGTCTTCATTATATATGTGACGTTGGACATAAATCCACCCACAGATTCTCTAATGTTCCTTCAAGGCTCTCATCCTCTCATATATGTTACGAGTGTTCCTTCCTATTCATATTTGGCTTAGTGACATGCTAGGATTTGTTATTAATCCGTTTAGTATCATGCCTAGGATCTTACTACTAACAATGTTTTGATGATATTTTTATGATGATGATTGTTGTCTTAATTGTATGTTGCTTGATTATTCATGATTTATTGTTATTGCTTGATCACGCCCCTTTCTTGCAGGTTTAAAGGGAATTTGTACTTGAAATCACGCCTAATAAGATAATTAATAATTGAATTTAGGCTAATATGGCTCTAATTCAAGTGATCACCAATATTAGATTTAATTGTGCATTAATAATCAACCAACGTAGATTAAACAAGTTTGGGATTAATTTGATGTATGTATATTGATCGAAAAGCGCATATGAATATCATAAGAATTGAGTAGAGGCCTATTTAGGGTGAGTTCAATCTCTTTTAGGTTGGATTCGTACCATCATCCCCGAACAACCAGTCATGGTTCTGGACTACTATGGAGTTAGCGATCTCCGTGATCGTGTATGGGCTGTAACCTTCACACCTGTGAATAGTTTACAAGTTCCTAAAACTTGTTGGCGACTCTTTTTCTCTAGCTTCTTTTCCTTGGAACGCCGCCATGCCTAAAATCATGCCACTATAGGGCTCAAGGAGAGTTGAAAAATACCCTATAGAGGTTTATCCGAAATTTGTGCAATTTCATTTGTATGTCAAAACTCAATTTAATGTGTCTATAGTCGTGAGTATGATAACGACAGCTTCACCCTATTTTCTTAATCTCATGGCATGATTTGGCGACATTCGTGTCCTAATACTTCTCTTCAAAATGGGAAGGCGGAACGTATGATTAGGACCATTAATAATGTTTGTCATTCTCTTTTATTTCATGCATCTCTCCCTCTCTCTTTTTGGGTTGAGTCATTACACATTGCCGCTTATTTGTAAAATATTCGGCCTACTCGTCTTCTTGATTATCTTACACCGATGCACATACTCTATAATAAAACTCCTTCGTATGATCATATTCGTACTATTGGTTATCTTTGTTATCCTAATCTGTCTGCTACATCTTTCCATAAATTGAGTCCTCGTTCTACCCCGTGTATTTTTTTGGGTATCCGGCTTCTCATCGTGGTTATTATCGGTGTTTAGATATTGCCATTAATAAAGTAATCATTTCTCGCTATGTAATTTTTTGATGAATCCATTTTCCCTTAATTCGTCAAATTACAATCCTTCTCCTAATGATTATGATTGTTTGGTTTCTGGTGATGAGTCAGCTCATCCTCCCCCCCTAATTCATGAAATCAGACCGACCCATTTCCTTGAGCCCAATCCTATTTCTCCTTTAGCAAGTGATGGGCATAATAGCTCGTTGGAGAGTAGTAGGCCTGTTCAATCAGCTACTACTTCTCAACGGGTTAGCCACACTTGCGCCTCTTCAGCTCCGACCCAGGCCCAACATCCTCCTTCTCCTAGTCAGCCCCCTGTTCCTCCGAATCCGCCTTCTCCCACTACTTCTCAACCGGCCCAGCCCAAACGTACAGTGCACACTCGTGCAATGTCAGGCATTTTCAAGCTTAATTCGAAGTATGCCAACTTGGCACTAGTCACTTCGTCTACTCCCAAAATTTCTCCTATACCTCGTTCGCCAGTCAAAGCTCTTGATGACCCTAACTGGTATAATGCAATATGTGATGAGTACAATGCTATGATTGATACTCATACTTGGGATTTAGTTCCCCGTCCATCAAATGCGAATGTCATTCGGTGCTTGTGGGTCTTTACACATAAGAAGAATTCTAATGGGGTATTTGAGCGACATAAGGCTCGGTTGGTTGCTAATGGGAAGAGTTAAGAAATTGGTGTTGATTGTGGTGAAACTTTTAGTCCGGTTGTGAAACTGGCTACGATTCGTACGGTCTTGATCTTGGCATTTTCTCAACAATGGTCGATTCATTAGTTGGATGTGAAGAATGCTTTCCTTCCTAACCATTTACAGGAAACAATATATATGCATCAGCCTCCCGGGTTTGTTCATCACGACAAGCCTAAACATGTGTGTCTTCTTTGCAAGTCTCTTTATGGCCTCAAACAGGCGCCTCGTGCCTGGTATCACAGATTTGCTACATACATTCTCTTCCTGGTTTTTGTCAACAGTATGAGTGATACTGTTCATTTGCTGCCGTGGTACGGAACAACATATCTTCTTTTATATGTTGAGGACATCATTCTGGCATGTTCTTCTTCAAGTCTTCGGCAACGTATTATTGCTCTTCTCAGCTTTGAGTTTTCCATGAAGGACCTTGGTCTCTTTCTTACTTTCTTGGCATTTCTATGTCTCGATCAAAGGACCGTATGTTTCTTTGTCAGAGAAAATATGCTCAGCAAATTTTGGCACGTGCTAATATGTCTTCTTGCAAGCTGGCTAACACTCCTATTGATACTAAGTCGAAACTTAGTGCTAGTAGTGGCAAACCTGTTAATGATCCGAGCTCTCATCGTCAGCTCGCCGGTGCTCTGCAATATCTTACCTTCACCAAACCAGATCTTTCCTATGCGGTTCAGCAACTCTGTTTGTTCATGCATGATCCTCGTGATCCTCACCTTCATGATTTAAAGCGTGTTCTTTGGTATCTCAAAGGTACTCTTGACTTTGGTATGCATCTCTCTTTTACTCCTGCTTCTGGTGTAGTCTCCTATTTTGATGTTGATCGGGGTGGTTGCTCGGATAGTAGACGTTCTACGTCTGGTTATTGTGTGTTTCTTGGGGATAACCTTATTTCTTGGTCATCTAAGCGCCAAGCTACTTTATCAAAATCGACTGCTGAGGCCGAGTATCGAGGGGTTGCTAATGTGATTGCCGAGACCACTTGGTTACGCAATTTGTTGTTGGAGTTGCATTGCCCTTTGCGCAAAGCCACAGTTGTTTATTGTGATAACATTAGTGCAGTGTATATGTCTCACAATCCGGTTCATCATCAACGCACTAAGCATGTAGAGATGGACATTCACTTTGTTCGTGAGAAGTTTTCCCTCGGTCATATTCGTGTTCTACATGTGCCTTCTTCTTTTCAATACGCTGATATCTTCACCAAGGTTCTTCCTACACCGTTGTTTGTGGACTTTCGATCCAGTTTGAGCATTCGTCCTCTTCTTGCTCCAACTGAGGGGGTGTGTTAGACAATATCTATGTAATTAATCAGTGGCGGATCTTGGCCAAAAATATTAGAGTGGTGGGAAATAATCTTTTACCTCACGCTCAAAACTAATCACTATATTCTAATATTTATAAGTAAAATAAGGTTATTTAAGTTTATTGACTAATTAATTACAATAATTTACCGGGGGCCAGGTCCTAAATGACCCCGATGGAAGGTCCCCTTTGCAATTAATAGTGTCTATATATAACTTAGTGTAATTATGTAAAGTTGGTTTCTATTGTATCTTTTATAATTTTATATATTGTGAATAGAAATGCAAGCCTCCTAAGGGAGAATTCCATATTCCTACAGTTAAAACAAAAGCCAGAATCCATATCTCAACATCTTTGTATTTGGTGTCACGTGTCAGTATAATTATGTACGAGGTTCACCCTATTTTTAAATTCTTTCTCCAGCGATGGAAGCTTGTTGCAAAAAACAAAAAAAAAAAAAAAGCCTGGGATCAGGGAGAAATTCAACACTCAATTTTCAATCTTGAAAAAAATTACATACTTCTAATTAGTTGTTAGAAAATAGACAAGGATCGATTGATTTAGGTCATGTGTTTGATATGCTTGGAACATAGACAACAATATATAAAACATAAACTTGAGAAATAAAGTAGAAAATAAATCAGATGAACACACAGATATACGGGTTCGGTCAACATGACCTACGTCCGCAGGGTAAGGTATAGTATTTTCTTATTAGCTTTCATTGAGGATAAACAAGAGATAAAACAAAAGAGACACAACACTCTCCATCTCACAAAATATCTCAATGGAGCTACATATGGGCTTGAATTGGCTAGGCTAATTAAATTTTTAAGCACTTCCAATTGTCCACCCAATGGCTCCTTATATAACATAAGGAAACCCTAAAGAAACCCTAAATTATTCCCCAAAGAATACTCAAATAGCCGTCAAAGAAAAGATATAATTTTAGGAAATATCCCATAAATTATCCTTGAAGAACCGAACTACCGAGCTATAGCTCGGCAGCTAGCTCAACCCTACCGTTAGTCTTCATAGGGCCGACCTATAGCTCACTCGCCTCGAGCTATAGCTCGCCGCTCGTCGCAATTTTCCAGCTTCGTCAGGTTTTCGTAAAACAACTGTAACTTTCTCGTTTCTTATTGGAATTGAGCATATGACCTATAGTTGGAAAGCTCTTGAAACAAGCTATCACCTCCAACTTGAATCATCTAAAGATAACTTTTGGATTGATAGATATGTGCGTTTGAAGTTGACCCTTTGCCATTTTACTAGATTTCAAGTCATATTTAACATTAGTAATCATTAACCAAGTAAATACGAAGTTGTTTAAAAAAAAAAAAAAAATTGAATACGAAGTAATTATTTTGAAATAAGTTACCTCTTTGTTCCAGTTAGTTTTGTAGACTATAAAAATTAGGATCATGGTTTGCACGGTTGTGCCCGATAGCATCCCAAACCATATACCCTGCAATTGTAGATAGAATCCTAGCAATTAAAAACTTATTAAAAACTTGTTGTAATACTACGTATTTATTTTGAACTAAGAAATGCAGGCAAATTGAAAGCTTTACCTGCTAAAACAACAAATCTATGTTACTTCATAGAGTCGGGCAATGCCCTAAAATATCCAGCTTGGATCCGGGCACGGAGGCTTGGTCGGCGAATACATACCTACCCTGTAGTGTCGTTTGTCCCGGCTCTTCCGGCTGATAACATTACTCAGATAGACAAGTGTGGTGGTTCGAACCCAAATTGGAACTTGTTGTCAGAAAACCGAGCCCAAATACTAATACATATATATTGAGCTACTTTGGGGTTAATGACTAAAGATTAGCTGATTGGCAGCGCAATATTGTCGACGAAGAATATCGTTGTTAATAAATGTGGCTTCTTCCGTCATCATCTAGAGTCATATCGTCTGATCAAGGACGGGCTACAACTGCAGCACGCGGGGTGGATCAATACCTTCCCAGATCCCGATCCCGATTATATGACTTGCGGCGGATTGTGGATACAAGAGCGAGCTAGGAATTGCACCCAAAGTACGATTTTCTTGGAGGGATGGGATATACATATACCCGAAGAGCAATGTATCAAGGTTTTAACGACATGTGGTCACATATTTCACAAGGATTGCTGGTTTTCTTGGTGTAAAGCGGCCAACAAAATCTCTTGTCCTAATTGTCGTACTGAGGTGCGTCAATCCGACATAGCTAGCCCTTCTTTAGATTTAGGGTTATTAGCAGGCCAAGATTTAATTTGACGCAAAGAAAAATCAATTAAGAAGCTCATGAATCCCAGAAAGGATGTAACATCCACTAACCTTTGCAGAACCACGAGAGCAATATATTCAAACTAGGGCTACAAGCTCGAAGCATTAGATTATTGGTTTCTATTTTGATTTTGTTATACTCGGGTTAATTTCATTCAATATTAATAGTCATTCGATACTTAATCATCTCTTAAGAGATCTGAATTTTTAATACAAGTATTACCTCATTTACATGTATATAATTAGTTGCAATTTTTGAATATTATTTGTGAGATATTGTTTTTGACAAAATTTCATTGATGTATAGTCATAATCAAGGTATAATCATAATCAAGGTAATTCATAAGAAAATAAGATAATTGGAATAAGGTAAGAAAAGATTAGATAGTGAATTTGTAAGAAAAAAAAAATACTCTAATAAATTAGAGTAGTGAGCCAAAAACTTATATAGTGCATTGACAGGTGTGTAAACTCCATGTTGCAATTTTTAAAAAAAAAAATACGGAAGAAGTAATAATGGACAACATGCTCATGTATGTAAGGGAAAACACCATGATAAAACTTGTATACCCACCGGGTTACTAGCTTATAAAGATAGTGATAGTGCAAATCCAACTCAACATGAGTATTTTAATCATGCATTAGTTGCGGATAGTTTATCCAGTTAATAGATGTAGCTTTGCAATCATCATGTATTAGTTGGGGGTAGTTTATCCAGTTGATAGACATAGCGATGCAACACAATACACTGCCTCAACTTTTTTTTTTTACTGATTAATTGATTATAATGCCTCAAAACTTTCAGATAAAAAAATTTGGTAAAATTTGTGATGGGTAAAAAGTTGGAGAAAAGCCAAAATCCATATCTCAACATCTTTGTATATGGTATGGTGTCACATTGCCACTATAATTATGTACGAGGTCCACCCCATTTTTTAATTCTTTCTCCAGCGATGGAAGCCTGTGTCAAAAAAAGCCAGGCAATTAATCTTCAAACCAAAAATTCAACACGATAAAGGCGTCGTTTTTTTTCCATTTTTTTTTGAAAATAAAAAACCAAAAACAAGAAACAAGAAAAAGTGTTTCCACTCTTTTGTTATCAATTTTCAAAATTATCATGATTTTAATAAATTTGACTAATTTTTTATTCATTATATAATATATATCATATGATTTTTAAAAACAAAAAACCAAAAGATAGAAAACCAGATCCCAAATGAACCTCTTGTAATTTTAATTCTTTTCATAAAATAAATAAATAAATAAATTACCTCTTCATTCCAGTTGGTTTTGTAGACTATAAAAATTAGGATTATGGTTTGTACAGTTGTGCCAGATAACATCCCAAACCATATACCCTGCAATTAGATAGAAATCTATTGATTATAAAGCTGTATATTTATTTTGAATTCAAATATACAGGCAATTACGCAATTTAAAGCTTTACCTGCTAAAACAACACATAACTAGTAGTCATATACTCATATTGTCACAACCCTCAATGATGAAGGGTGTGTCTTTTTTTCAAAACTCCCTCCATCTTAAAATAAAAGTCATATTTGCTTTCTAGGCTCGTGTTTTAATTAAAGGTAAATGGAAAAGCTAAGATGATGATTATGAAATTGCTGAGAGGTGTGTTCTCATTATCTTAAAAATAAAATCAAAGCTAAATTTAATTAGGTTTAACCGGCTATAATTAGGTCTAATTAGGTGTATCCGTGAATATATAAGATAAAATCAGTGCTAATGAAATTCAATTAGCTAGATTTAATAAGTTCACTTCATATAAGTTCAACATATGAAACGAATGCATCGTAACCAAAGTTTACTTTGTACTTCATCTTATTTTTTATGTAATGTCTTTATTTTTTCCGGACATTACATATTAGTTTATGGGATTAATAATTTTATGCAAATAGAGCACATTTAAATACAGTCCTAGAAGATTAAAGTTTACCTTGACACCAAAATCAAGAGCATATCCCAAACTAAGGCCCAAGGGAATGCCCAATATGTAGTAACATCCCACGTTTATGTATGCAACAAAAGCTTGCCAACCTGCTCCAATTGCCACACCTTTGAACACCCTCACCAAAAAAAAAAAAAAAAAGTTACTTTGATCAATATACTTTACTTTTGAATAAAAGTACTTCAATTTCATAAAAATGTTTTTTGTGAATTGTTCAAAAAAGGAAGCTCGAAAAACAATCAACAAACACAAAAATGAAAAGAGAAGGGTCCAAAAAACAAGCTAAGCTATTACTCCGTAGCTTAATGCCTTAGTGTAGTCAAGAGATGAATCATAAAAGGTGGATTCGGCCACACAATTGAAATCTAATTAGGCAAGACGAAATATATCATTTTATCCGTTCTATATATAAATATTGCAACGACTTTTCAACACACGTGTTTTCTAATTGTGTTTTCAGTACGAATCTTTGAAAAAGAAAGTACTCGTAAAACATATATAAGTGAGCGTACCTGAAAGAACAGGTTGAATATTGTTGACCGCGATGCTAATAGCCAGAAGAGGGGTGAGGTTATACACGATGTCTTGTACCTCTTTACTGCTGGTAAATACTGCCGGATAATTGCTACGGTAGATAATCAATACTAGTGACATAATTAAACCCACCAATAATGAAATTACGACGGACACCAAAACGGAGAATTTTGCTGCTCTGGGATGCGCTGCTCCAAGTTCATTTGACA